CCCCAAAACCCCAAAACCCCAAAACCCCAAAACCCCTGAAGGAAGAAGGCCAATTGAACCAAAATTAGTAAACCTTTAATAATAATAATAATTTAACAAATGGCTGACAAGAGACAAGAAGACCTGAAGAATATTTCTGAGATAACCGAGTTGTCTGGCGAAGTTGTCTCTGATTCATATGATGCCCATAATCAAAATGTTGAAGCTACAGTAAATGCTCTTTTAGAACTAAGTGAGAATTTAAATGACGAATATATAGACATGAATACAACCTCAAGAGAAGTAAAGAAAAGTTCGAGCATTCAAGTTAAATATCAGCAAGCTAAAAGAACAGAAAGTGAGTCAAAACTTCTTTTTCTCCTGAAATCTGAAATCAAAAATCTAACTTTGTATAGAATCAGCAGCTGAGCAAGAAAATCAAGATCCACTTTGGGACCAATGATTAAGCTTGTGGTACACTGACGAGGAGTCTACTAAAAATAGTCCCCTTCAAGAAAAATCAGAGAATAGACAAGGAATGCCTTGAGGGCTTATCAACTTTCGAAACGACTGATATTTCAATTCCTTGATTCAAGCACTCTTCCACATCCCAGAATTCACTGAAATCATCATGAAAGCATTACCCCAATTAATTAACTCAGTGAATAATGACGGAGATTATAAGGCTTTGCTCATATCTCTCTGACAAAGAAATGCTGAAGACAAAGAAGCTCAAAGTCAAAATGCCTTACCCGCTTCAGAAACAACCACAAGTAAGACGGCTGGGGGAGATAATGCCATTGAAGATGCAAAGAAGGAAGGCCAGCAGGATGATATCTTTAAGTTCAAATTCAGACTCCTTGAAAGCATGCAGAGCTTATTCTCAAAGATGATAAAGTTCCCTATGCATTCTCAAAGCACTAAAGAGGTCAGAAATGTTGTCTGAGAAGCCAGCGGTATTCCTATCAATAGGAGAGACGACCAAATGGACTTAGCAGAGTTCTATTATAATATCCTCGACCAACTTTTGGACTCATTCAATCCACTTGAAAATATACTGGTCTCTAATGAAGACAACAAGGGGCAGACCGATGACTCTTGAGGAAATTCTGAGATGGTAAATCAAAAATCTACTCCTGTACTTGATATCCGAGCAGACAAAAGATCAGACAAATAATCTTTCTGCTCCTTTCGCTAAGCCTGATAATAAAACCATCACTGAAATAAATCAGTCACTAGCAGCAGCCAAGAGGCGTCTCCAGTCTCTATTCTATGGCAAATGAGAATATTCTATTTCTTATACACACAAAAATAAGCCTTGAAATAAATAAAGTGTCTGAAAAGTTTGCCTCAATATCACTCCTACCAAAGTATGGAGATCTTTACTCTGCTTGGGATGCTACTTTTGATGAAGTTATCACTAATTCCTCCTCTAGTCGCACAAATGAGCAAGTCATAGCCCAGAAGAAATATGTCATCACCAAGCTTCCAAAAGTGCTAGTCTTCACCATCAACAGAGCTGACATCGATGAGGATGGAGATCAGTACAAAAATAACTGAAGGTTCGATTTTGATGATGTGATCTATCCTGGCAGATATTTGAGAAAGAACACTAAGAAAATCAAATAAGATAACTCAAGCAATAGAAGATTATTCTGAAAATGTAAAATGCCTAAAAATCCTGATTTCGAAGTTAAGGGGAGAAAACATTAAGGTAGACTATAACTACCATTATTAGATGAAACACTGAGGATTAGAGAATCATCAAATTTTCAGATTAATTTTATGCATTATGGTGAGATGAAAGTTTATACACCAGAAACCACAGTCAAGGTTTTTGACCCTCCACAGACTCTTGGAACGATCAATGAAGCTATAATGTACTTTACTAATAAAAAGGAGGAAATTGAATGGCAGATCAAAGAGATGCAGAGTCAATTGATTGAAACTCAGAACAAAATTAAGAAAGCTTACAGAAAAATTGATGCGACTCCTTACTACTTGCACTCCATGATCATCCACAATGGAGGCACTAAGTTCGGGCACTACTATGCCTTTGTCAAAGATCACGACTCGAATGTGTACTATAAGCTCAATGATGAGGATGTCCGAGTCATGGACTCCAGTATCGAGAAAGAAGAAGTTGAGAGATGCAGCAAAGGAGGAAACGGAGCTGAGAACGCATCTTGTTTGTTCTATGTAAACCAAGAGATCCATGATAGGTTGGAGCAGAGTTCACTCAGTACAAATGCTCCAGGAGTGAATGGTAAGAAACATCTAGTTCATTTATAGAGCTGTATAATTCACTGGTACCTCAAGAAATCAGTGAAAGTATTATTCAGAGTAATTTATTTGTAATATCTTTAGATGAGGAATTTCAGGCTGATAAAAGTGCTCCAAAAATTATTGATCTTTATCGCGAAAGACTCAAGATTGTTGACAATTTTCACCAAAATTGAGGGAGCCTCAATGAAAGTTTATCTTTGTCAATATTCTCAAGTTTTAGAAATAAAGATAAAGGTGGTGATCCTGACTACTCTCACTTAGCAAAGTGGCTGCTCTTCAATCAATGATATCAAGAAATAACTAGCAAAGATGGATATCAGGTGCCTTTAGAAAGAATGAGCCCACTAAGAAAGAAGCTGGAAGAGCTGATATCATCAGATAAAGACCACTTTCCAAATAGCTTGACTCTCATCAAAAGTGAGCGAGACAAAATTCTCCAGACTGTAGAAAATTATAAGGAGTCAACAATCACAGCCAATATTGAATACAAAGTTTGTCAGGATATCTTGAACCATCGCCCAGATTTAGCTTTCCAAAAGATAATCAAGAGGCTCCATGAACTAAAGGATGTCACACTGATGGCTTGTCTCTACCGCCTCGGTGAAATATGTATGCTCAAAACGACTATGATGGTTAAGAATGCAGTCACATCTAAAGGATCTTTTAAAAGTGCCATTGTGACATTGCTGCTCTCATTAATTCAAGCTTTCCAGACAGTTTACACTGATTACACTAGTCTTTTCTACAAGCAGGTTATTCTGAACTTAAATGCTACTCTAGCCATTGCAAGATCTAAGATTATAAGTGATGTGAAACATTTTGAAAACTTTGTGCAAGTACTCCAGACTAAAAATTGGTCCAAGGTTAAAATTCATAAGTTTCTCCTTCCACAATACGGCGAAGAGTTAGAGGAATCCATTGATAATATATGAAACATCGACTTTTTCGATAAATGGAATGATGCCTTTCTCACTGATAACATACAGTTTAAGTTAGCAGTGTTGTTGGGTAAGCACCTTATAGTTCTAGTATCGTTATAGCCTCATTTTAACATACAATTTAGATGAACTTATGGACAAAGAAAAAACCATTTTTCAGATCCATAGAAGATTTACAGAGAATAGAGAAAAGGTACTACCCTCTAAGGATTGCTTAGAGACGAAGAGAAATGAGGTATTAATCTTGAGGAATTCTGAGAACAAACTATGCACTAAAGAAAACACTTAGAAGTGAGTAAAATATGCTTATTTTGTTTCTCTAAATATCAACAATCTATCTTCAATCTACCCCTAGTATATCGGGGTTTTGGGGTTTTGGGGTTTTGGGG